CTTGAGTTTAGGACGTCACCGGTCTGCACAAGGGGGACGAATTCGCTCATGTACAGGGTCCGGGCAGAACTTCAAACGATCTCTCGTAAATCTACTAGGTCTTCTCCTAACCCTCTTACAGTATACCAGTCTCTTGGTTTATCCTTGAAAACCATTTTTGAAGTTGATCTGCACACCCCTCCCTCCTCGCTACCCGCCACCCCGGACCCCCGCACTACCCCCACCGACGTAAGGTTTCTTGGTTGGATAGGATGACTCTTTGTACCCCCTCCTTGTAAGTACGAAACCCCGCAAAAAAGACGTTTCGTCTGGTCGCTGCTGACTGAGGCGACATTTTCTTTCTTACTTAACCCGGGTACATAGCACTCTGAAAACTCACTGTGGAGGAAGGAGTCGTTCCCGTTAAACTTCTACTTTGCACCGACCAGAAAGAGTGTGTTACTGATGGTAGCCTTTGTTACTTTGGTCCCAGCTCTCTGCAGGTCATTGACTAGGTCCCCCCGTGCGGTTCTGGGATTTTTGCTCACCGTTCTTGTTTCTCATTTTGACCCCACGGGGTGAGATCTTGCGTGGAGCCCCAGATCGAGGGAGATTATCAGTAGTCTTGTATGTCTTCCATTTTCTAATAATTGCTCCCACAGTTGATTTCTTCACACCAAGCTGCTTACCTATTGCAGATTCAGTCTTCCCAGCCTGGTGCAGGTCTACAATTTTGTTTCTGGTGTCCTTTGACAGCTCTTTGGTTTTGGCCATAGTGGAGTTTGGAGTGTGACTGTTTGAGGTTGTGGACAGGTGTCTTTTATACTGATAACGAGTTCAAACAGGTGCCATTAATACAGTTAACAAGTGGAGGACAGAGGAGGCTCTTAAAAGAAGAAGTTACAGGTCTGTGAGAGCCAGAAATCTTGTTTGTTTGTAGGTGACCAAATACTTATTTTAAAGAGGAATTTACCAATTCATTCATTAAAAATCCTACAATTTGATTTCCTGGATTCTTTCCCCCCATTCTGTCTCTCATAGTTGAGGTATACCTAGGATGAAAATTACAGGCCTCTCATCTTTTTAAGTGGAAGAATTTGCACAATTGGTGGCTGACTAAATACTTTTTTTCCCCACTGTATGTCCAACAGGTAAAGCAGATTAATAATAACAATAATGATAATTACTGCAGATTATAAATAAATCATTTAGGGACAAGGGGGTGAGATTAAATAAATTATACTTCTTCTCACTCCTTTTCGAACACTAGATGTGGGACTGTTTATGTTGCTAATGCTGTTGTTGTAAATGTAATTTTTTTGTTTTGATTTCTCTTACATGACTATGCACTGCAACATTTGTTTTGTTCGAAATAAAATGTATCAATCAAATAATGGGGAATAAATCAACTACTGAGCAAGAAAGTTTAGTTTCAAGTCTGAAAATAACTAATATAAATTGCTCATCACAGCAACAAGTACAATAAGAGTGAAACAGGCTACAAAAAGCAAGGGTTCACACAAGGATAATAAAACATAAAATGTAAGAAATAAAAATGAAAGTAACCGTATATATAAATAAATATATATATATATATAAACATGTTTTACATTTGGATGATTATGGATATGTCCAATATGTCAATTTGGAAGTGCGAGTCCAACGTATGTGCATTATGGTGCAAGACATAAATACATACAGTGCAAGTAACCACCTACATTAATGTTTACTTAATGTATACTTGTATAGGTTGAGCATTTCAATATAAAAGGTTTCCAGTTCTTACCATGACGGCATGAGGGAAATATCCATTGGTTTGGCTCTGCAGACCCACAGTGGCGAGCTCAGCCAGCACATAGCGCTCGGGGGTGGGTTTGTCCAGGGTGGGCTTCTTGATGCGAGTCATTTTGGTCACCACGAAGAAGGGCAGCACACTCTGCATGAGGACAAAGGGAAAGTGTGAGATACGCTCACATAAAAGCCCTTAAAACGAGAGAGTCCACACTCTAAAGTTCAACCAGGGGCATTTGGGACCAATGGTGGTATAAGAGGCACTTTTAAAATGACAGAATATATTTTGTGTAGGTTTGTGGGATGACTTGGGTTATCAGGTGAGAACACACTCCGGGTTTGCTGAGGTGAAACTGCTGTAAACACTTTAACCACCAGGTGGCACATGAGAATACTACAGAGGAGCTAAAAACAGAACAAACAAGCCTCATGTGGAACATCAAATTCAAAAATACCTCTGCGGTATAAATGCATCTACATGAATGTGTTTTTATTGAATTGCACTTCAGGCAGGACTGGCTGAGAGCAAACTGATTCTTTTGAGGTAAATATGTGAGGCAATTCAATCAGGGGTCATCAGATGGACAAATCTTAGATGCTTTTTCCAGGTGTATTCAATTTCTATCAAATACACTTTGTTCTACTGTAACTCAAAGTAAGCAAGAAACCATTTTGTTAAGCAGTTCTCTTTCTGGCATCCATCAGGCTCAAGAATAGCCAAATAACTGTAAGTGTCTTCCTATTCTTTTGCTAAAAAACAAAACAAGGTGGAGGTGATTAATCCCATTTGGCCAAACTCAATCTCACCTGGATGATGATGCCCTGACGCCTGTACTCTTCGTGAAGGCCACGAGAAAAGAAATCCACAAAGGCCTGCAACCAGAACGATGAAAGAAGGCTACATTTAAAACACACCAGTCCGTAAAATGTTGTTTGTCATCACAGCCTTCAAATTAGGCAACATGAGGAAGGGTCGGCATCATGAAACGAACAAGGTACTGACACAAATTCTTATAAATGACAGAAGCAGAGATGTTTCCATACCTTTGTGGAAGAGTAGACGGTGAGCAGAGCGAGGGGGTACATGCCGCTGGCAGACGAGATGTTCAGGATGACTCCTTTGGACCTGAGGAACACAACAAGGTGGATTTAGGACAAGGACGTTAATTCATTGTAAGGCTAAGAGTAGCACTGCAACAGGCACATTGCAAGGACTCAAATTGAGTGCTTTACGAGATGGCATCAGTCAGAATTGTGCACATATTTGGGAAATCCTCCATTTCAACACAGCTGCCACAAACAAATGTACATGGAGTTCCTCCTTTGCGATACACTGATTTTTAGAGGTCCTTTTTTTCTTCAAATACACAAACTTTTAGAAAGATTTTCCATGCCAGTGGAAACCCTGCATCTATACAAATCGAGCACACACACACACACACACTTACAAAACACACACAAAGTGATGTTCCACACACACACTAAAACAGTGTGGTAGTGGCCGTGTGTGTTGCCATGGCAGCCTGTTGCTGCAGTGATGTAGTGGAGCGACGCTCCAGCCTCACACGGCACCAAATGTGCTGCGCTGCGATTGGCCGACCGGAGTCACATGGGAGCAGCGCAGCCAATCGGGTGGGAAGAGCACTTTGTGTGAATTGAAAGCTTGTCAGCATTGTGAACAAAGGAGGAGAGGAGAGATGCAGGGAAGGAAAGGACTAGGAGAGGATTTCTTATTCTCTTACTGGTTTTATATAAAGTGTAATCTCCCAAATACTTTTCTTGGAAAAAATGTTTAATTTAGAGATTTCTTGTGTAGCCGTTGTGTTACAATCCCTCATTCAACAACAACTATTTGACTGCAGTCATGTCGCAGAACATGGAGGCCCATCATTGAACTCACCTCTCATTCATCCTGGGCAGCACCAGGCGGGTCATCTGAGGAAACAACAACAGGCTCATTCAGAATCAGCAGTCAAAAACAATGATACAACTCATGAAGGAGAGGAAAGAGTTTTATTTAATAAAAGACTAGAAGTTATAAGGAGAGAGAGAGACAGGCAGAGAGAGAGTTGCGTGGGTGGCGAGCACAGACAGCGTTGGTGTAGTCCGCCGTTGCTTTGGGAACAACTGAGACACTGCAGGTACCGTGAAGAAACAGCAGAAGAGGAGGAGGAGGAAGAAGAAGAGGAGAACACAAGGGGGAAAAGTGAGCAGGAAAGTGATATGGATGGGAAACTTTAAAAACAGTTCATATGATTATGTAGTTGGAAATCAGAACTGAACATATTCTTCCTGAAGAGCAGCAATATGCAGAGACGTTTGAAAACAAACTCACCTGGCAGACTGAAGTTATGTTGACGTTGACCATGTTTGTGATGAACTGTAACAGAAAGCACCAGTCAGCTAAACACTCACACAGATTATCTTTAAACAGTAAAGAACTTAAAAAGATATAAAAGGAAGCACATTATTTGGATATTCAGAGCATTACATGTAGCTAGAATGTTAAGGCTTAAGACGAAGAAAAAAAGGTATTCCTTTTGCTTTTTTCACGTTGAAAAAAGGACAGAGTGCACTTTTAACTAGCAGCATTTCCATTTGACATGATATGTAATACAATAAAACTAAAACTCACATTGTCCAGATCAGGAATATTGAGGTAGTACTCGGGGTAGTCGTAGGAAACACCAACATTGTTCACTGTTGAAAACAAAAATAAATAAGTTATACTATCTTTTCCAAAACAACTTGGATGCTGAAGAAAGCTCAGAAATGAACCACAAGGTGGAAGCAAAAGCAAACGAGACAGTCCTAGTCCACACAGCCACACCTTACCAGTAAGGCACATTTGGCATCATACAAAAGAACAAAGAGTTCCTAAAATGTTCGACTAAAAATTATGATGTCAAGTCTTGGGTGTAGACGTCTAGAAATACTACAACAGCTGACATCTTTAAAACGTACACCATGAGGTTATGTTAAGTCTCTTAAGTAGTATTTATCGTCGGATAATGCGTGGCTTTCGTAAGAATAATTTAACCAGACTTCAGAAATTAGTCAAGGTTTTCTGTCAGGCAGAACTAGACAAAGAAGTCAATTCAAGAATCTAAATCTCAGGAGTTTAAAAGTGATCAAATGAATCCACTGTTTAGAGAGAATTCGCAAATATCACCACTGTTAGTTTCCAAAATAAGTGTTTGTAAGATTTCACTTGGCTGAAGCAGTATGTAGTCAAATTCAAGGTAGGTAACCCAAGCAGAAAAGTAAGGCCAAAGTGCAAAACTTTGAGCGGTACAACAACCTTTAACCAAATGAATAATGTCCTATTATTAATGCTAGGGGGCTTCTGCTGTGAACACAGTGCCGCTTAAAACACATGGCAAGTGAATGTAAAAATATCGTTAAGTGATGTTTGCCTTCTTCAGTGTTGCTCTCTTATGTCTGCATTACAAAAGGGACTTAAGGGAGTAAGTTAACTTCACTGAAGAAGAACAATAAAAAGCACGAGTTTCGAGGTGCAAGGTAAAAATTGGTAGAGAAAAGGATAAAAACAAAAAATCAGAACTTACCAAGAACCCCGATCTCTAATCCAGCCAGCCCCGCCTCGATCTTTTCGTAGATGTCACTCCTGCCAAAGTCCACTGCGATGGTCCCGGTCTCCACGTTGTACTGTTCCTCTGAAAAAGGAGAAACACATTTTCATTTACTATAATGTTACAACGATATATATTTTTTCCATTTAACCATTATTTAGCCTCGTAAAGCCAGCTGAGATTAACTACAACTTTCACGAGGCTACCTTGGCTGGAGAGCAGCATTCAAAAGTTACACACAACAACCCAACATAGAAGAAAAGAAAATCAAATGTGTGGATATATCAAATACACATGCACAGTGACAGGCAGCACTTACTTTGTTCTGAGACTTTTTAAGGCTATTCCAAGAGAGGGGAGCACAGTAAAGCTTGGTCACTCCTTGCTATGCATGGCAACAATTACATTTTACATTTGTAGTGATAAAACTAACTCAGTAATGTTAATTAATCTAGCGTTCACCCTACACTCATTCATGTGTCACAAACCAGCAAGACTGACATGAGCAATCCCCCGTTTCAAATGAATGTAGCATGAAACCAGTAACCGTGAGACTTGAACTGAAGAGGGCACTGCATACCAACAAACCAGCCGNATCAACTGAGTAAAGCGGCGCAGTCGTCCTGTTTCTGAAGCAAACATGTCTTAGTATGTGAACCAGACTGTAGCCAATGATGTAAAACATTCACACTTTAGGTTTTACTTCAACTGGAAGGATATTTGCTCTACACTGAGTCGGTTAAGAGGTTTTCCTTCTTTTAAAGTGTGAATGTTTTACATCATTGGCTACAGTCTGGTTCACATACTAAGACATGTTTGCTTCAGAAACAGGACGACTGCGCCGCTTTACTCAGTTGATTTGTGTGTAAGTGAAAACCCCGTATGAATTGGTCTGACCATTGCCTTAACTAAGCGGTTATGTGAATGCTTTTCCTTTTTGTAACAAGTCTTTTAATATGCTTCTAAATAAAACATAATTGAATTTCTACATGTAAAGTGCAGTGGCAACGAATGTTTTCTACTGTTTGTTAATAAAAGCTCTGACACAAAGCAAAGGGTTGTGTATTTGTTATTTTGACAAGGAATGGCAAAGAAAATGTGAAACTTTTTGGTAAGTGATCTATTGCAAGGTCTCAACGCTTCCTCTTGAATACCTTATTGCACTTGTGTCAAACTCAAGGCCCGGGGGCCAAATCAGGCCCTTGGTGGATTTAATTTCGGCCCGCAGGATAATTTCTAATTACTATTAGATCTGGCCCGCCGGTATATTGCACTCACACCTTCACTCAATCCTGAGGGTTTCCTCAGCTCAGAGCCTGACCCCAAACATTGATGACCTTGCACTCAAGATGAGATGCCAAGTGTCTGGCTTGAACTAGCATCACAGAGCAGCACACTGAGTTTACGTGGATGTTTCCTTCTATACTTTGTTTCTTGAGAAAACAGGGCATGTTTGTTTTTTTCTTTGAGGGAAATTGTTTTTTTTGTAGCTGTTGTTGGCCTGTGGAAAAATGTAATCATAAGAAATGACTCTGGAAAAGCTGCAGATAGAGCCATAAGAAATTAATGCAACTGATTATTTAATGTTTAATATTGTTTCTTTAGGCAATAATTTAAGCTTTGTTAGTTCCAGGTTTAATATGTGTAATAAGTTCATTTCAATAAGTTCTGCAATAAACATTGAACCAGTCCGGCCCTCGACTAGTACCCATTTTTTTACTTTGGCCCACTGTGTATTTGAGTTTGACACCCCTGCTTTATTGGATAAGATAAACCTTTATTGACACTTGAAGGAAAATTCAGGAGTTTAAGCAGCAACTGAAATAAGGGTGAAAAACAGGAAAGGACAGACATGTAAGAAATACAAATTATGAATAGAGATGTCCTTTATATTACATGTGAAGAAAACAAAGAAGTTGCTTCTCTTTGATACTGTAGATATTCAGAAATCGTTAAAAACCTATTTTGACATTTGAAAATCTTTGGTTTTATAAAATGGATAATACTTTTTAGACACTAAAAATTATGAATATTAGTAGAATTAAGCAATGAACAAAAATTAATTATATTTAATGTGTAAAATATGATCAGCAATATCTAAAACTACTTTCAAATGTTGATAAACCATAGGCGATATCTTTATAATATATATTTGTTTGTCTAGTTTGATAAATCCCTGGCTCGGTTGTTCTATTTAATTAGCTTACTTCTCCCCTTATACACAAAAAACATGTTATTTTGCTAAAATAAATGAGAGAAAGAATAAAATAAAAATGTAGCGGAACCTTACTACGCCTCTCTGTTCCGGGTAGGATTTATTTTTTTGTAACACAGTTAAATGGCTGCTTTCAACTGACGTCCTAGCTCATGTGGAGTTTCTCTTCTCTTTTTAGGCTTTAGTGTTGCTTTTAGCAGCCTTTCTGGTAAGTAGTTTACAGATTTGTTTCAACACAAGTTAGCCGGATATTAGTTTTTCATTCTGAAATGCACAAAGTGTTTATTTTAATAACTATAAGCGGGTTTAGCTAACTAGCATGTTTCTCTTAACCTACCAGTCAGACTAGCTATTAGCTTCACTAATTAGCGATAAAGTTATGGTATACATTTTGTTTATAGTTACACCATCTCTGCATAATCTCTCAGGTTTAATACCAAGTACATTTTCATATACAACGAATTTGCTTTGTAATCTTGATGCACGATCATATTCACAGTAGGAGAAAAAAGTAGCTTACTAAAAAAAGTTAGAAATCTTCAAAAAATGTAAAATAAAATGTGTAATATATACATTTCAGTTTTTAAATGAGAAAATACCTGTACAGTATTTGAAACAATTCATTTTGAAACATACCAAATGAATAAAGAAGACACTTCAGAACATTCAAAAGCAATCAATAAGTCATAGTATTTTGCCTCTAGTAAATCTTTTGCTGAACCTGTTGCTAGTCAAGTGAACATTCCTTTTCAGTAGCATGTATAATGTTCATAATCTAGCAAAAAGTCTTAGTTTGATCAGCAGATATTGGGGAGCTTGGTGTAAAAAAACAACAACATCAAGACGAAAAGCAGATCCATAAAACTACATCAAAGATTGTGCAGTCAAATACAGAATAAAGGGAAATAAGACTAATGAATGCCATTATAAAACATAGAGTTTCAATACCTAAAATACTTGAGTTAGCATTACAAAACATTACAACACGATATACTCCTTTATTTCCTCACGAAGCTTTTGGTTTTGTATTATGTGTTTAGGTTGCTTTGGACAAATCTTGCACAGCACAGGTGTCCATATCTCTGGTTCATGGAGAATTTGTTTCCATGTTGAGGAAATCTTGTCTGTCACTCCCCAGATGTGATTTGATGTCGGATAAACGTCAGCGTGCCAGAGTCCAGGGCTCCTGGGCCAAACAAGTGCCGAAACCCTCTGCTCCAAAGGGTAAGTTAAGAGTTGATGTATATATTCTGTTTGTAGTATATGTGACTCCCTCTGTCTGCTCCTGCCTGAATGAGAATATCAATATATATTTAATGGTGTCTTCACAGGTCTCACTAAAAAATCTATTAGAAAGCTGCAGCTGATTCAGAACGCTGCTGCTCGAGTCCTTACCAACACTAAGAAAGTGGATCACATCACTCCTGTTCTGAAGTCTTTACACTGGCTTCCTGTGTGTCAAAGAATAGATTTCAAAATACTGCTGCTGGTTTATAAAGCACTGAATGGTTTAGGCCCTAAACACATTTCTGACCTGCTAAATTATGAGCCATCCAGATCTCTCAGGTCTTCAGGGACGGGTCAGCTTTCTGTCCCCAGAGTCAGAACTAAACATGGAGAAGCAACGTTCAGTTATTATGCTCCAGATATCTGTAACAAACTCCCAGAAACCTGCAGGTCCGCTGCAACTCTGACTACTTTTAAATCCAGGCTGAAGACGTTTCTTTTTGCCGCTGCTTTTAATTGATATATTCATATCTCACACTGCACTGTAACTTTTATTCATGTACCCGTGTTATTATCTGCTTTTAAATTAGTGTTTTTAAATTCCATTTTATAATATGTTTCTTAATGTCTTTCATTTTTGTAAAGCACTTTGAATCACCTTGTGTTGAAAGGTGCTGGATGAATAAACTTGCCTCGCCTTGCCTTACTTCTTCAAGACCTGGATGCTGGATTTTCAGCCCATCTACCTGGCTGGTATGGAGCGACATCTTCTTATATTTTGTTTTTTTCTAGTTGCAGTTCAGAACAACCAACAGCCCAAACATGAAAACCCAGCCCCTACTTCTTGGGGTTGTGGGCCCCAGAAAACACCTAATACTTTTGAGTTTCATCAGCCCTCCAAGGTAGATGGCAAACACAAAAGTCACCTTTGAATTTTTGGCCCAAATTGGTCATTTCAGTCTATTAGAATGTTTTTCAACAAAGTGCTTAATCTGTCTCTGTTCTGTCTCTTCTATCACAGCCAGTGAGAGCTGTCCCACCAGAGAAGGTGATAGAGTAAGTATTTGTATACAACCAAATCAAATGTGTTTCTGTCTCTTTCCTACTAATGTTTTTAGTACACCATGCACATGTTGGCTAACACTCATCATTTTGTATTTGACAGGCAGGCAGGTATTCATGAGATCAGCGATGGACCATCAGGAGTGTCCATGTGAGTACAGTGTATTTTTATAGTTAAAACATACTTTAAATCCAATGAAAAAGAGGTGAATACCAGTGTGATGAATGATATACATCTGTGATTGAGTTTTAAATCCACTAGATGGCAGTAATCCCTTAAGAGAAAATGGTTAAAGCTCTTGTGAATGTCATGCCTTCTGCCTCTCCACACATGAAAGAGGGCTATGTTTTTTTAAAGTCTGAATATGTTGTAACATGTGCTTTACATATGGCCTACTGAACAACATTGGATTTACTTTGAGACATCAAGCTTCTGCTTTTATTAAGATTTAAATACATAACGCCACCAAAAGAGCAAGGAAGCTTCATGGATATACAGTAGGAACCTCTCAGTTAATAATCTGTAATACATTTGATGACCGTGGCCCTGATTGATCACGTTTTGAGAGAAGAGCTTGTAAAAAAAAAAAGTGTAAAAGGAGAACACGTACATTTTACAACTAAACAGAAACATAACGAAAACTACATGAATCACTCTGACAACTATCTTAAACTGAACTAAACCTTTTTTTTAAACGAATATAACCTTGATATCAGGACTAGGGATTTCTGATTGTGCCCTTTACCCACCATGGTCTCCCATTATGGACTTTCCTGCACAAACACTAAATAGACAGTCAAAGTCAACTTTATGGTCAATCTTTCAGTTTGTGTGTACAGACAGAGAGATCGAAATACCGTTTCCAACAATCCCGAATACAAAAATACAAATATATATAAAAATATGTATATACCTATATATATATATATACACACACACAATCAACAGACACATTTATATATATGGACACATTAAAGGTGGGGTAGGTAAGTTTGAGAAACCGGCTCGAGATACACTTTTTGTTATATTCCATGGAATGCTCTTAACATCCCGATAGCAATGAATATCTGAAGTGCTTTAGACAAAAAATCCATAAAAACATGTCATCTGTGGAAGCCGTGGCGCTGTAAAAAGCACGACCAATCATCTGAGCCGGCCCGGCTAAAGTAACTGGATGGCCTACCTGCCTGTCAGCCTTCCATCTGTGCACAAACTTATCTCGTGCCCTCATTGGTCATGTGCGCGTTCGTGTGTGTTGGAGGAGGGGCTCTGTAAGGAAGTGGCAGATTTCTTCCGGCTGTGTATTTTCAAATTCTAGTGCACTCGAGCTGCTTTCTCCAAAATGACCTACCCCACCTTTAAGATAAAAGCACAACAATCAATACATACAAAAATAACAGTCACTTCAATATCTTTGGGAAATGTACATCAGTGCAAGACTGTCCATAGCAGAGTGTGCTACCTTCTGCTTACTCACATAACTTTTTTGGGTACTTAGCCTAAGTGTCATGGTGTTTCCCTCCGTCCAGACTGCGGCTGCTGCCCGGGTTTCTTCCCCCAGAGGAGGCAGACTGGATGTTCAGTAAACTGCTGGCAGAGCTGCCCTGGTCCCAGAAGACCAACTACAGACAGGGTGGGTACAGATAAGGATGAGTAGTAGTGTGTCGGGGGGGAATGAGACACTGTGATGCACCCTCAGTGTAAACAGGGTTCCCCACTGCAGCTGGTGTCATGTTGGGTTCTAGTTTATTTCAGTGCTGCTCGGCAATAGATCAACATTATATCGTGTTAGATTTTGGATGTCGTAATGAGTGTTGTTTTCTCCTGGTTTTAAAGGGCTGCTGTAGACTAAGAGAATGTCATTTGTATTATTTGTCTTTACCCCCAAAGTCTTTATATCCACATTTCTGAAGATCTTATTGAAACTCTCATTGTGTAAATATTTGATGAAAACACCTACAGTCAACCGCACAGAATTATGAGATTCGAGTCAGAATTTTGCTATTTTCAGTGTCATAAGTGGCCCTAATCCTCTTCCATTAGAACATTTCAATATTGATATTAAAGGTGGGGTAGGTACGTTTGAGAAACCGGCTCGAGATACACTTTTTGTTATATTCCATGGAATGCTCTTAACATCCCGATAGCAATGAATATCTGAAGTGCTTTGAAAAAAGATCCATAAAAACATGTCATCTCTGGAAGCCGTGGCACTG